CGGAATGAGTTAAATCAAGACACCATAAAATTAAACTTTTGCCTCGAAGAGCTTTGTTTTGTAGTGTAGGAGTAGGTTGGAAGAAAGTTAGGGGAGGCCAAACCACAAAACATGGCAGAAATCCATGAAATCATTGACGAGTGGACTGAGTCATGTCGGTAGTTGTCGACTACTTGGTTGGGGTCCACGAGATGATAATAATCGATGGTTAGAGACCTTGAATGACATGGCTCAGAATCGTTTGCAATGGCGCCGGTGCATTTATTCTTTGTGTTCTCTCAAATCCTAATCTTCTGGATTCTTCAACAACTCTAGTTTTGTCTTTCTAAACTTTTTCTCATTGAATCATACTTGTTGAATAATATCTTTTAATCCTAACCTCTCCGATTACTTCTAATACCTTTTGCTACCTCTACTACTATTGGATTTGAATTGACAATTACATCTCTGTGCTAATGTGGTATGGCAACATGAACTGATGTATTTACGTACGATGTTCTACGTTGCATCTGACTGACTGACTGATGTAAATTAAACTTCATACTGGTTGTACAAGTGAATAGCTATTTGAAGTAGAGAAAGGTATTGGGTTCAAATCACACAGTGAGCACAAAGTCAAGATTAAGCGTGAATTCTGCATTCTACAATTAACCACACCCGACTTATTCTATAAAAGAATGAGTATTTCAAAAACTTGGAAAATGTATAGTAGTTTATTTAGGAATGAATCAATGGTAACCTGTTGATAAAACTTGTCATTAGCTCCGGTATAATCTGTTTCTATAGTTACGTGAATTAAAATATCAACACAAACTGTACTTCAAATTCACTTGTACCGATAAAACTCTAAACAATGGAACAGAAGATTGACTGGATGTACACTGGAAGTCTATTTAGTAGGAAACAAGTTATCATTCTTGATAGGGTGTTGAAGAGTCAGTCAGTCAGTCAGATGCAACGTAGAACTTCGTACGTAAGCACATCAGTTCATGTTGCCATACCACATTAGCACAGAGATGTAATTGTCAATTCAAATCCAATAGTAGAAGAGGTAGTAAAGGTATTAGAAGTAATTGGAGAGATTAGCATTAGAAGATATTATTCAAGAAGTATGATTCAGTGAGAAAAGTTTAGAGAGTCAAGACTAGAAGTGTTGAAGAATCCAGAAGATTAGGATTTGAGAGAACACAAAGAATAAATGCACTGGCGCCACTGCGAACGATTTTGAGCCATGTCATTCAAGGGTGTTGAAGAGACCATGAAATGAAGTCAAATCGGAGAACTATTCAGATTGAACAAGTATTCAACAGCTATTTCATCATAATGAGCACCCCAAGACCTCATCGCCACTGCGCATCGAACACAGAACCATTGCACTTTAGTTCATTCTACACCATCAACAAATGCTACGATAACTCAGTCGGTAAACCAATCAATAATTCCCAATTACAGTTGTGGAGATTAGTGTTTTTTACACATTTGAAATCATCAATCAATCATTGTGTTAGACTATCACCGTTAGGGAAACCTAAAAACACTGAAAGACGCCGTTTCACCCTGGTGTATGGGATTCATCAGTGGCAGTGCTCATCCACGACTCCTGCTCCTCGCTAGCATTCCGACCTGAAACCTCCGGTATTCTACGCGAACGCCAAACCTCTGGACCACTGGGCCGGTGACATCCAACAGTGTTAATGTCTCCATATGATTCTACTTTGTAATGGGTGTTTTGTTTTACTGAAGAAATGATTAGCTTGTACAAACGAGTACATTGAATTTTAAAAGTAAAAATTAACCACGAGAGAGAAAAATAGTAATTTAGAAAAACTATAAAGAACTTTATTAGGGTCCTAACCATTCAATACAGAAGATACAAGTGTTTATTAACAGTTGTCTTCTTTGGCCAGACACCATCAGCAACAACACACTGTGGGAGATAACAAACCAGATTGCAGTCGAGGAGGAAATCAGGAAGAAGTGGTGGAAGTGGATAGGACACACATTGCGGAAAGCACCTAACTGCGTCACGAGACAAGCCCTCACATGGAACCCTCAAGGTCAAAGGAAAAGAGGAAGGCCAAGGAACACATTACACCGAGAAATAGACAAAGATATGAGAGGAATGAACAAGAATTGGACAGAACTGGAGAAGGAAGCCCAGGACAGAGTTGGTTGGAGAAAACTGGTGGGCGGCCTATGCTCCATTGGGGGTAACAGGCGTAAGTAAGTAAGTAACCATTCAATAACTGAACCCTACTATCATAACTATGATCTCTTTGATTCTTAATAAAATCGAAATTTCTACGCACACATATATATAGATAGATAGATAGATGAAAATGAGAAAATTTTCGAATTTATCAGAAAAACAAAACAGACAAACAATATTTCATCTATTTTTTTTTTACGAATTCGATAATCTTTTTTTCAAGAAAATAAAACAGTCTGTCAATTACATGCTGTGAAAAAGAAAAGATTAACTAACTCATGATAATAATATCTGTAAATATGATTTTATAACTGGATATGACATACAATTCTATTGTATGGAGTGGAAACTTGAATAGCAGCTATCAAAGACATCATTTCAGAAGATATAAGGATTTAAATAACAGATGCCTATGCAAAATACTCAACATCCGTTGACCAGACACTATAAGCAACCACCTACTGTAGGAAAGAACAAACTAGATTTCGGAATTGGGAGAAACGAGGAAGAAGCGCTGGAACTGGATAGGACACACACTGCGGAAAGCACTCGACTGCGTCACTAGACATGCCCTCACTTGAAACCCTCAAGGTCAAAGGAAAAGAGGAAGGCCAAAGAACACATTGCGCTGAGAAATGCAGATAGAAATGAGTAAGATGAACAAAAATTGAACAGAACTGGAATGTGGAGCCCAGGACAGAGTAGGTTGGAGAATACTGGTCGGCGGCCTATGTTCCAATGGGAAGTAACAGGCGTAAGTAAGTAATGACGGAGATATAATCCTATTTAGTAAGTGGATTAACTTTTCAACGATGAAACAATATTTTCATTTGTCTTTTTATCTATTCATCCCTAGATTTATACATCCTGTTCATAAGTGCTCTATGTATTCATTCATGATTAGATGTTAAACATTTCCGGTCTTGCATTTCATCGTTTACATGTTTTACTGTAAGCCTACACTATGAACGTTCACATGATCACTTAGATAGTTGTCTTCCAGTGTTCTGACTACAAACATTTTTCTTAGAAATTTCGAGAATTAGTTTCAACTGTCAATTAATGTAATCAGTACAGTCATCGAGTCAGTGAATTTATTTTCAATAATGCGGATAAGACTGCATTAAAAGTGGTTTGATCAAATTTATTCTTTGTTCATGTGTCAATGTAATATACATTAGGAAAGAGAACATTTTGGTCAATGAACTGAATGTATAAGAGTGGAAATCGAAATTGAATGTTGAACAATTCAATTCATCGTAAATTTTCACTTATCCGAATAATCAGTAGTTAAATAATAGCTAATATAAATATCGGAAGTTTTGTAAAGATTATTGAATCTCATCAGTGACATAACAGACTAATCTAAGTTAGACTGTGGTGTGAGCTACTTATAAGTAGTATATGACGTGAGTGTCAACGTAATGTCTGGTGGCAGCAGAAGATGGGGGAAGATCAAGAAAGGAAGAGTTAGAAAACAATGGAATTTGCGTGAAACGCATGAATAGTAGTGACAATCGATTGTTGATGTTTTGCAACAGGAACAGTCCAGTTCGATAGGATGAACTGATAATTTGCAAATGAACGATTTACGATATGGTTTTCCAATTTTACTGAGTAACTCTGTAATTTTCGTTAAATACAATTCGGTTGCCCCACCTGTGTTCTCTTTCACTACAAGACTACTATCGAAATGTAAGAAGCATCAGATAGAGCTGCAAATCTACGACCTTCAGTTTTAACAGTAACTGCCTATCCTTCAAACAAATGAGTTCCCATCTAAAAAAATTATTTACAGCAGTCGATTCATGATCTTGTTATTTATTGATCAGTGACTGTATCACACACTCAACATGGTCGAGAACTTGTTTGACATGAAACAACAATGATATAGCGCTTATTTTAATTTTCATTAGTTATCTAAAAACATTCATGTTATCACCTAAATGTAAGGATAGTGTTTTTTTTTTAAAAATTCAAACGCATAAATTATTCCCGCCTATGGTTTCATTAAAACAAACAATTCTTGAACCATTGAAATTGATAAAATAATACACAAATCTATGAGAAAAGACTATTTAAAATTTTAGTCCAAATATTTCCTGCTTTACAAATCAGTATTTATTGAATATCAGTAGCATTGTACCCAATTAAATCAAACCAGTCATTTCATGCAATCATAGTGAGCGCAAATACCACGTCAATCAATTAGTCTGGTCAAACATTTAGGCCATTGATTTTTCAACTAGACAGATACCATAATAAACTGTAATGTTTTAAATGTATTTGCGCTGAATCGTTTACTTTTTTCTCCCAAATTGTGATAACTGTCAATATGTTCAATATTGAAAAGTTCAATTGAACACATTGATCATTGTCTACTATTTTAAAAACAGAGTGATCGATCAATATTTCCGAAACTCTCTAGATCCGATGTAAATGATGAATGAGATGTAAGCGAAAATATCATTGTAACAGTTGAAAACTGATTTCAAAAACTTTCTTAAATTAAAATGTAACTCCACTTAGAGCCCTTCTCGCGTTTTTGTTCCTGTCAGTCCCAAGCCCGTGTAAAGGCGCAAGGCTGGGCATATAGGGTTAGTGACCTCAACCTGTAGACGCCTATGCTCCATCAGGGGTAACAGGTGTAAGTAAGTAAGTAAGTATGTGAATAAGTAAGTAAATAGGTAAGTACATATATATATATATATATATATATATATATATATATATATATATATATATATAAACAGTCATAAAACATTGACAATTTTAACAATTACAAACTTACTGACTAATAGTTTTCCGCCACCAATTCTCTTTATTATGTAATATTTCCAACTTTTTTGAAGTACTACTCCCTTTTAATCCATCATCCGCTTTATTAGGTTGCATAGATGTCAACGTAGTATTGATCGGTGCTTCAATGCATGATTTCATTTGTTGTGCACGCCAATTTCTACGTCGTTCATACAAAGTACTTCCAGTTGATTTGACATTAATATTTGTAGGTGTTGATGTAATGGTTGAAGTAGTATTAGTAGTATTAGTGGTCCCAGTTGTATGTGTAATTTCTGTTTGATTCATTTTCTGTGTTATTTCAGTGTTCAATGCAAGATCCATTGGGATTAGAAGTATTAATAATAATAGTAATAATAATGATATTAATAAGACATGGTGTTCACTTTAGTAAATTATATTCACCGTAAAAATTCCAATTTAATATTCCACTAATGTTTTTTTTTTTCTAACAGGGCAACATTTTTTTCCGCTTCATAGTACTACTACTACTATTACTACTACTACTACTACTACTACCACTAAAACTACTGCTAATTACAATTACAATCATACACATAATAATCCCAATTTATTTTTTATAAAAAGTGTAGTCCATATATCGGGCGGAAGAGAATAAATAATATTCAGCTTAATAATAATTTGTATTGTATGTCATTACCTAAACAAGTGTGTGTGTGTTTGTGTGAGTGTGTGCCAGTGTGTGTTAGTGTGACTGAGTGTATGTCCATATTTCCAGTTGTGACCACACATACATACATGCATACATAATTTGTGTACAATGGACGTGGAAATATAATAATGCATGTATGCTTCATTGCAAATGTGTTGTATTCTTCAAAGAAATGTTCCTTTTTTTTTCTTTGAAAAAAAAACCAACCTAATAGTTATTGATCACAATGGATCGATCAACCAACCCATAGGTGTGTGTGTGTGTGTGTTTGTGTAGACAATCAATCAATGCGTTGATTTTGAGCAGATTCCATTGAAATTAATATGGGGCTTCAAAAAACAGTCTGTGTTAAGTGAGAGTGACTCATTCAATTGAAATAAGATGGCCGAATTATGTTGGTCTGTTTTTTTGTTACACTTATTTCTGATAACTGCTCAAATTTTGTTTTTTTTCTTAAATTGGACAATTATGATTGGTCAGTTTGATTTTTTTTTTCGACATACCACTTTGCTAGTAGTCATTATTTGATTGGTTGAATTTTTTTTTAATTGAAATGAATTGGTAATAAATAATTAGTTAATGACTGATAAAGAGTGAGTTTTTTTAAAAATTTATAACATAAAGGCCCATATGTTATATTTGTTTTCAATTAGAGTTATGGAGATGAGTGTATTTTTTTACACATTTGAAATCATCAATCAATTATTGTGTTAGACCATCACCAACTAGAGAAGCCTGGAAGCACTGTTTAGATGGCTGTTTCGCCCTGGTGTATGGGACACATCAGTGGAAGTGCGCATCCACGACAATGAAATTTATAAATAGTTAAAATTAGAAAATTCAATTTTTTAAATTTTCTGAAACAATGGAAATGTGAATAACTATACTTCTACTCGTAGTTATCATGAATCTCGTTCTGTTGGGGACGTTAGATCTACAAGAACTCACTTGATAAATGTCCTAATTTTGGATTTTATGCTTCCATGAGTGGTCTGACCAGTTGACCTGGAGGTGACATTTCTCACCCGGTTGATGTAGTAGTTTAGTACGGTATTTTTGTGGATCTCCCATAGATTTTTCTGTCACGTATAAATAAACTTAATTTGTGTGCTTGTCAGCCTCATATTTTCTAGGTGTCTGTAGTATAAACTTTCTACGTCTTGTCAAGACTTCTTCCTTTAATTGGTGGGGCCTTGGAACGCTCAGATTAGAGTAGCCTTTCGTGTCACTGGATCATTTGTCTTCGCTCTCACTTATCGACTAAGGTGAACTCGTAATAGCATTCAAGCATATCAAATGATGGGCATAACATATTCTCTGTTTCAGAAATAACTGAGCAGTTCATATATGAAGACATTTGTTTCGTGATCAAGGGAATAATAACATCTATTTTCTTTTCTCTTTTCAAATTAACATCAACTTTTTCACACTTATTATAGACACTTCTAAATCGTACGAGCCGATTTATTGATCCAATAAAAAAATCGACACCAATCAAATCACACTTTTAACGGAGAAGCAGCATCATCAACAATCAAGGTGGATCTGATGTAGATTTGAAAGCGGGTATTGGCAAAACAAGGGAAGTATTTCTACAGGTGAAGAACATCTGGAACTCAAACGAACTATCAACCAGTCACAATTTTCATTACAAAAGTCAAGACAGTTCTATTGTATAGAGTGGAAACGTAGAGAACTACGACATACATCATATATATGATAAAAGTATTTACTAACAGTTATCTACACAAAACACCATCAACAACAAATTTCTGTGAGAGAAAATAAACCAGATTTCAAATGAGGAGGAAATCAGGAAGAAGTTCTGGAAGTGGATAGGACACTTATTGTGGAAAGCACCGAACTATGTCACAAGAAAAAAAACTTCAGTCGAAAACCCTACGTTCAAACGAAAAGAGGAAGGCCAAGAAACACATAACGTTGAAAATTGTAGACAGATATGAGAAGAATGAACAACAGCTGAACAGAACTAGAAAGAAAGTCCAAGGATAGAGTAGGTTGATGAATGATGATCGGCGGCCGATGCTTCATTAGGGGTAACAAGCGTAAGTATCTTTGTATCTTCCGTTGTGTATTTAAGCAAATTGAAATCTCAAAGTATTTAGTGTAAAATGAATGAAATTCAGTGGATAATTTCAAAGTATGCAATCCAGTTCAAGCTAAGAATTGATTTTGATTGATAAGGATGAAGATTTATTTCCCTTATAGGGTTGCGAAGATTGTAGATTTACTTTGAAATAATGAACCGATCAATGTTAGACCATCATTAGAAACCTGGAAGTACTGGCTCGGTGGTCCATGGGTTTACGCGTTCGCTCTATAGATCGAAGGTTCTGGGTCCAATTCTCGTATGTATTGAGAGTCATGTATGTGCACTGTTGACAAGCACACAATAGATCTGACCACTAATACACAATATATCAACAATAGTTCTTAAAACAATGGAAGAGAGAAGTCATTTAACGATGAGTTATCAATAAGATCTTAAGAACACTGAATTACATTTGAATGCTTTCAACATTTCTAAACCGAGTAAATTCATCATTTATTATCTACACCAAAACAAAACATTATCGTTTCATTAAAATCACTGATCAATCGTTGTTAGATCATCATCAAAAACCTGTAACCTGTGACCCGGCGGAGTTCAAACCCGTCGGGTATAGGCACTTATCTATTGAAGACAATGAACGGGATTCCGCAATCAAGTAAAGTCAATAGCAACAGAGAACGTCGTACTTACGTACATCAGTTCAAGTTGTCAGGCCGCATTAGCACAGAGACAAGTGGAATTGTCAGTTCAAGTCTCCTGGAGTAGAGGTAGTAGAAGAAGCAGTAATCGGAAATTTTAGGGTTCGACGAAATTATTCAAGAGGTGGAATCTAGTGGAATAAACTCAAAAATAAATATAAAGGCGATAAAGAACTCTGAAGATTACGATTTGAGAGAACATAAAGAATAAATGCACCTGCGGCACTGCAAACGGTTTTGAGACATGTCATTCAGGGTCTCTAACCATCGATTACCATCATGTCGCGGGCCCCAACCAGGTAGTCAATTCCTACCAACATGGCTCAGTTCACTTGTCAGTGACTTCATGAATTTGTGCTATGTTTTGGTTTGACCTCCCCTAGCTTTCTTCCAACCTATTCCTACATCGTAAAACATAACTCGACGAGGCAGTCATGGGTTATGGGGTTGCGCAATATACTTCAGGGTTGATCAGAGTTAAACATTAACACCATTAGTGGCCGCTGGTTCAGTAGTCTAGAAAATAAGTTGTTCGCACGCCGGACCGAATATCCCAGGTTCTATTCCTGCAAGTGAGGATCTACCCAGTCCCATACTATAACACAAAACATCTGTTCATTGCTTCCATGTTTCTAATGGTGATGGTCTAACATTAATCGATTCCATAATTTCAGTGAAACAATCACAATCTTCATCATTCCATAATTAATTTTGCAAACATTGATCTCTTGATACACTTACTGAACACTAACAAAATTAATACACAATGGAATATGATACTGAAAAAATAAAGAATCAAGGTCAAACGAACAACAATAAAAACAATAAAAATAAAAAAATTATGGTAGATTAATTAACATAAATTGATGATATTCCATTTAGAAAATATATTGAATGTTGAATTAATTCAACATTCAATTGAAAAGTAATCTACTTTAAATGCAATATGAAAAAGTCCATTGAAATATATATATATATATATATTCAAGTAAAAACAATCACCGGGAAAATCAATAAAACAATCTTTCATACAATTACTTACTTACTTACGCCTGTTACCTTCAATGGAGCATAGGCCGCCAACCAGTTTTCGCCAACCAACTCTGTCCTGGGATTCCCTTTCCAATTCTGTCCAATGTTTGTTCATTCCTCTCATATCTTTCTCTATTTCTCGACGTACTGTGTCCCTTGGTCTTCCTCTTTTCCTTTTGCCTTGAGGGCTCCATGTGAGGGCTTGTCTCGTGATGCAGTTAAGTGCTTTTCGTAGTGTGTGTCCTATCCACCAACTCCACCGCTTCTTCCTCATTTCCTCCTCCACTGGAATTTGGTTTGTTCTCTCCCACAGTTCGTTGTTGCTGATGGTGTCTGGCCAACGAATACGAAGTATTTTGCATAGACAACTGTTAATAAACACTTGTATCTTCTGGATGATGGCTTTGGTAGTTCTCCAAGTTTCCGCTCCATACAGTAGAACTGTCTTGACATTTGTATTGAAAATCCTGATTTTGGTTTTGGTTGAAAGTTGTTTGGAGTTCCAGATATTTTTCAACTGTTGAAATGCAGCCCAATCCGTGCCCACACATCTGCATCGGATCCACCTTTCTCGTTGATGATGCTGCCAAGATATGTAAAGGTGGTTACGTCCTCCAAGGCATCTCCATCAAGAGTGATTTGGTTGGTGCATGTTGTGTTGCATCGGAGAATTTCGCTTTTTCCTTTATGTATGTTGAGACCTACAATTACAATTCTTTTAAAAGAAAAATGAATATTACTCAGTTGAATTGTGTGCGTTTATCATTTGGTAAATGAAAACATTGAACTAGCTGAAGTAGTTTCATCAATATTGTCGGTAATTTCAAATTGATATTTATGTTGAGTTAACTCCTCCTGGAGCCCCTTGTTGGGTTACTGCT